CTCAAACACTCCAAGAGCCGCCTCATCGGATGTTGTCATTGTCCATGCTTCTGCGCCATATACCAGCACGGGCATGATGAGTGACTTATAGAGCGTGGTTTTCGTACGTCGAGAGAGGACTTTACTCCTGAATCGCCCACTCAGTGCAAAGTAGCACTTGTTGGCAAGAATGATTCTGCGTTGGATTTCAATGCTGACATTATTATCGGTGTTAATGCTGGTTCCCAAGTAAACGAAATTCTCTACTTTCTCGAAATTGTAACTGTCAACAGTTACGTGGGTGCCAAGGCGCGAATGTGCTGACTGTTTGTTTGATGACAGGAGATACTTCGTCTTGTCCTCGTTTACCACCAGACCCATTCGCTTTGCTTCCCTATCTAACTTGGAAAAGGCAGAACAGACTTCGCGGTTTTTGTTACCGATGATGTCGGTGTCATCGGCATAAGCCAGCAATTGCACGCTCTTGTAGTAAATTGTTCCTGAGCGGTTTAGTTCTGCAGCTCTTATTATCTTCTCCAACATCAGATTAAAGAAGTCACATGAAAGGGAGTCGCCCTGTCTGAAACCCCGTTTTGTGGCGAACGGCTCGGAGAGGTCTTTCCCAATTCTGACGGAGCTGGTGGTATTGCTCAACGTCATTTTACACAGCCGTATGAGTTTTGAGGGGATGCCAAATTCTGACATAGCGGCGTATAGGCAACGCCTTTTAGTGCTGTCAAAAGCGGCTTTAAAGTCGACAAATAGGTGGTGAGTGTCGATCCTTTTCTCGTGGGTCTTTTCCAAGATTTGGCGTATTGTGAATACCTGGTCTATGGTGGATTTGCCAGGTCTAAAGCCACACTGATAAGGCCCAATCAGTTCATTGACGGTGGCCTTCAGTCTTTCACACAATACGCTCGATAAGACCTTGTAACCTATGCTTAGAAGGCTGATCCCGCGGTAGTTGGCGCGAATGGTGGGGTCACCTTTCTTGTGGATTGGGCAGAGCACACTTAAATTCCAGTCGTCGGGCATGCGTTCATCTGACCATATTCTGCACAAGAGTTGATGCATGCACCTTATCAACTCCTTAATACTATTTAGGGACGCATTTATTAAAAAAATTTGATCGACATTTCCTAGAAAGAGCTGACAGAAGAACTATCCAGTCAAAAGGTTATCGAAGTAAAGAAAATAATGCGCAAATCAGGCGACCGTTTAATTCCAACAAGCGCTGCTATCATAACATTCGACCTAATTCGCAAACCAGACATCATAAAACTCGGTTGGGAAAGAGTCCGTGTGCAGGAATACATTCCGAATCCTATGAGATGTCGCAATTGTCAACGTCTCGGGCACAAAAAGAATAGATG